AAAGGCCTTCCTAGTGTCCCATGTCTTTGCTGGTAATGTCCTTCTGCCTATAACCTCTATGTATGACTCAGGACTTAAACATCAAACACCAACGTGTATACCACCGCAGTAGTTGTCAGCGCTCAGTACGGCAGCACAAGGTCAATTTACTTTCTTGCCTAGCGTGGCGCACATATACTTCTTTTCTCACTGTAGAGCGGATGCAGCTGTCGCCGGAAATTAAACTAGTAACTCCGAATGCTTTTGTAAATTGCAAGAACGGCAGAATTTATTGGATCCATAAATTTCAGGAGCCCTCACCAGCTGCTACCTCTCACTGCATAACGTGAATAACGTGAGAGAAAATACAAAATTGAAATCATACAGAAAAATTAATACAGATAGCAAGGTCGTAAAAAATGGCCAAGAGGCTAATAAATAACGTAAGAAGGTTAAAACACTGTAAGCAGCCATAAGTGAGGAATAATGCGTCTAGGGCAAACAAGTTGGGAAGGGGAATGTATAAATCTGGGAGCCGGATTTTACCAGGTCGAAGCTGGGTTAACCAAATGCTCCAACTGTTTACATAGGTCTGGTTTTGACCGCCGTTCCATTAGACGAACGGTCTTCCATAATAATACCTGGAAAGGTCAATATTTGCATTATCTAAGTTTTGTTCCTATTAAATGGAAACGCAACTTGGTTTGTACCCTTTTCCAGAGGATCAGAAAAATCTGTTCTATGGACACATTGGATGCCGAATTTGAAAATCTCAAAGACACCTTACTGAAGCGTGGATACGCAGCTCAGTTTATTGACAAGTATAATCAACCTTTACGACCCTAAAGGACAAACCCATTAGCTCCAAAAGGCCCGTTTTAGTTTCCTTGCCCTTTAAGGGCGATAACATTTTAAATACCATAAAGAGACGCTTGCTTAACGCCATTAAAAGAACTCACTAGGCAGCCGAGCTCATATTTTGTTCTTTAACTAAGGCCTTACCAATTTACGGTGCAAAGGATGCCTTGCCATTGCACACCACCTCCAATTGTGTTTATGAACTTACATGCACTTCCCGAGTAGTCGCCGGCTATTAAGTCCACGGTTAATAAGCCCAGCCTCTTATTAAGCCCAATTTGGTCTGGGCCCGAGGTGGGCTTAATAGCCGGCGACTAGTGTACATAGGGCGAACGCAAAGACAACTGGCAACCAGAGCTAAGGAGCACTTGCCTAGTTGGTTTTTCAAGCAGGAACACAGAACGCCTCGTTTCTCAGTTACAGAACATTTACTAGATACGGGCCATTCTGTGTCCCCTAAAACTTCCTTCCAGGCACTTGTTCGAGCACGAACAACTCGTAGCTTGTGCTACCTGGAGGCAGCCTATATACAGTGGTCAAAACCAGACCTATGTTACTAGTTGGAGCATTTGGTTAACCTAGCTTTGCATTGGTAAAATCTGGCTCCCAAATTTACACAGTCCTTTTCCCAATTTTTTTGCTTTAGTCATTTTTTTCCTCACATTTTTGCTCCCCACAGTGTTTAAACGTTCGTACGTTATTGATTAGAATCTTGGCCATTTCCTACGACCTTGCTGTTTGTGTCAATTTTTCTGTATAAATTCAATTTTGTATTTTCTCTCACGTTATTCAATAAGAGGTAGCAGCTGATGAGCGCTCCTGAAATTTGTGGATCTAATAAATTCTGCTGTTCTTGCAATTTACAAATTTGCACCTGAGAAACTTTGCTTTAAATTCCGAATTCGTTAAAAAAACCTACGCCTTAGTAATTCCTTTCTATACTAACCTATTTATAACTCTAAGTGGTATGGATTTATGCATAATTGCTACATCACACGCGGGAAAGTATTCTGACGTGGAGACAGTTCGAATAACTCCCCTTAAACCACGCCACAACAGGTCATTCGCCTCAAAGTGTGCACACTGTGCTAGTAATTTGCCATTCAGAATTTCAGTTTCCTTCCATATCCGCATTCGTGCAAGAATCAACTGCAGAAAACTTTCTCTGCATTTTTCCACAAAGCTGTTCTACACAGGTGGCTGAAGGTAGGCCCGATCTGTGTCATCATATTATCTTAAGTGAAACAAATTATGTTTTAATTCGACGTTAGTCATCATCACAGCCACACATACATGACTTACTTGACCTTACGGTTTTTTGAAAAATACCAATCTTCGTTGTAAGCGCATTCTGCAGGCCATTTATCATATTCTTATGTCTTTTCACCGAGACAACCCCTGGGACGAGCTATTTAAGTTTCATTGGGCAATTTGGTTGGGCATGGATATATTTCTTCCCCCTCACAAAATTTTTTTTCTGGAAATTTCTTTAATGCATTAAAAAAAAATAAGTCGCTTGAAGACGACTTGTTTCTCTTCAGCGTACTTTAAAACATTGTGTTTTGCGTATTCAATGGCATTAATTGACAATATTTCTTAGTCTATGTGGCCATGCGTCGCAGTCCGGCGACAAGGTACAAATATACTACCGAAAGCATTGCTGAGATAATGTAAAAGCAGCTCCTACTATTGTTCCAAAGTCTATGCGGTTATAAATTACCACCCCACCGGTTCGCCTTTCATTGATAACTGCTTCGA